ACGTGTGACCGCGTGATGTGGATCCCGTGATTGAAGGATGAGCGGCGCTATATCCTGTCCAAGTGCGAGTTAATCACGCTGCTGATCAGCCGCCCGTGGCCAAAGGGATAAGTGTTCAAACTACTTGCCAGGAGGTCGCGGGTTCGAGACTCTTCGGAGTTTCGTGAGATGCGCACTGCTGATGATTCCCAGTGCTTCTCGGCTTTTCAGCTCAGCACAGATTCACTTACAGGACGAAATCTCCACAGTAACGATTTCTGTTTAATCATCCTTCGTCCGGTGCAAACCCTAGAAAATGAAATGAAAGGGCAAATAGTAGGAGAGTGTTCTGAGATCGCCAGTGTTTCACACCAATGATACATTGTTTTCTACTAAAATACTCATCTGATTATAAATACACCGTTTCGCAGCCCTATCGTGACATGTCTGTATTAGTGGAAGAGCGGAAGAGCGTTTTTGACTACTCAAACCCACTCACAACGCGCGGGTTCACCCATGTCCTTACCACCGTAGTTATCCTCGTTGCCAGGTAAGACCACGCCCCGGAAATATCACCTTTTACAATCGATCATATAAGTCATTTTGTGGAAGAGGACCACTGTATCAGGAAATGTAAGGCTCGAAAATCCAAGTGCTATTCGCAGTTGGTTGCTGGATCTGTAGAATTAAATTCCACATAACTGTTGTTTGGATAGCCCCCTTTCTGTCCTGCCGTAATTATTCTGGTGAGTCCACTTCAAATGGGACAACAGTGGACTCGAGTTTCACTCAACGAAGTTCTGTAGTGGTGGGGTTTCAAATCCGGACGTCTGAGATGCGAGCAGAGCGTGTTATCACCCCCCACCGGTGCACACAAGACGCACCTGATTTATCACCTCTGAGCAGATGTGTTCACGCTTGAGCGATGTGATTGGTTTGCCCGCGGCCTTGAACGACAACCCAGTAACTCTCCTGATCGATTGGCCCACGTGTTAGGAATTCTCAGTCAGATAGTGCCAAGGATGCTCGAGACTTGTTGGACGATTTTCGATTCATTGTAGATAGTTGCGAGACTTGTGGAATATTCAGTTGGACTGCCGTCCTTCAGTCCTGGCACAGTTATTCTGGTGAGTCCACACCAAAGGGGCTGAGCACTTGACTCGGGTTTCCATTTCATTACAACTCTCAGCAGTGCTTAGCCTTAGCCTTACCATGATTTGAACGGTCCTAACGCATGTCAGATGTCCACATTTGACACAAACCTGGACGTACAATCTAAAGGTTCTCAAATCATCTAACACTGTTATGTTGAGCCATTTGGTACTGTAGCTTCGTCAAAATGGGTGTTCTTAGAGTGGAAATGTTTGTAACTGTTTGTTTACACTCCATCGATGGCGTTCCAGTGAAGTAGCACTGAATACTGAGCATAGAGGAGCCCTAAAATGGTCGTAAGGTCAGGTGATACCTGAAGACGGCTCCATTAAGCTGCATCAGGTGTGCACACAGGTGAAGAAACAAACAGAGAGTGAAAAGCCTGGCGTTTTTTTCCTGATGCGTCCTGAATGAATGCTCACGACAATCACCCATGTACACGACACATTTCTCACAACTGGCACCGAATATATCCTTCCGGTTAGTTGCAGGCGCACAGGCTCGAAATGCGATTTTTTGCAAACAAATACTTGGCAACTGATCGAGGTATTTATATGAAAGACTTTACGGCTTCAGTTTGGTGCATATACACCACAACTATAATTTATGTGAAACAGTTTGGGCCCCTTTTGTTACTTTTCCACTTTGAGAGACCGCCGGGACATTGTTGAATCCAAACTCAGCCAATTACAAGCCCGTACACATCCATAGTAGATAGGCCGGGTACGCACCTGGAAGGTCCTCAAGGGAATTTTCAAGATTGCTGCAAGAAAATAGGTCAACCATAACGACGATGACTTCTTCCAGACCTTTACAACGTTGTTAACCACCGCGTACTTTAGTGAGGGATGTTGAAGCAGAATTCTGTCTTTTTTGGTTAGCCTCAATGAATGGAAGCAAGGCTTCGTTGATAAGTCAATGGTAGGTGGACGCCAAGACTTTCTACTTGACTTGTTCAATCTAGCTCGTGTTTAGACATACCATGTCTTGGAATGATTGCACGGGGGTGGAGGGTACCACTCGTTTTCCCCCTAACTAATCCATTTTGAAACGTTTCATTGACGAAACAAGACCGTTCCTTTGTTTTTTGTCCAGTGGCTGAAATGGTCAAGTTGATAAAGAGGCGACCAATAATCACGCACTCATTCTTTGCCCCCCCCGTCCTCACCAGTCCACACAGCCTCTGATTTGAACTGGTCCATGGCTTCCGGAGTCTTTCGGCCATTTGTCGAGGTCTACATCTTTGGTCCTCTGCTGGCAGACAGGAAGCGCAAAGCCTCCACAAAATCCAAGTCCGTCACCACGATGCCAACCTACAACGAAACTTTTGTATTGTAAGTCACGTGGATAAATCGATCAAATCTAACCTAGATAAGTATTTGGGCAATCAAATCGTTAAGAAGTCACCACAGACAATGTGCTGAGTAAAGATGCTTAGAGCATATGAATAGTTTGAACGAAATCCGTCTGTTTGTCGTTGTGACAAGTGGGTGGATCGATAGAAACACTGGAAAAAATCGTTCAGCTGTAACACCCTTTTGGTGTCTAGCTGCCATGCTATCCGAAAGAAGTACGAGGGCTGGGATACTGCCAGGTTTCCCAAGCCTAGACGGAGGAAGTTGAGAACACTGAGTCCAGCTTGATAGAACTTTAGTGATCTAAGCGCGTACACGATTTCTGTACCTGGCTTTCTTGACTTGTGTAAAACGCTGCTCACAAAGCAAGCCTTCCCGATATCCTCACTCTCTCG